ACAAGTGAGAGCCCAGGAGAAAGGAGCGGAACCACCGTATAACAGTGCCTCCAGCTCCCAGCCCCTTTAGACAGTCCAGAAGGATGTTATGGTCGATGGTGTCAAAGGCCACTGAGAGATCCAGCAGAACTAGGAAACAGCTCTCACCTTTGTCCCTAGCCCGCCGGAGATCATCAACCAGTGCGACCAAGGCAGTTTCAGTCCCATGGTGAGGCCTGAATCCCAATTGGAAGGATCCAAATGGTCCGCATCCTCCAGGTGTGCTTGGAGTTGTTCGGCAACCACCTGCTCAATCACCTTGCCCAAGAATGGTAAATTTGAGACTGGGCAATAGTTGACCAAATTGGCTGGGTCTAAATATGTTTTTTTAAGAAGCGGTTTAATGACCGCCTTTTTCTGCGGGTCTGGGAAGGCGCCCTCACAGAGGGAAGCATTCATCACCCCGCAGAGCCCATCGCCCAGCCCTTCCTGGCTCGCTTTTATCAGCCAGGATGGGCAAGGATCAAGGAGACAGGTGGTCGGTTTCACTTGTCCAAGCAGCCTGTCCACATCCTCGGAGGTAACAGATTGGAATTGATCCCATGTAACAGGACTAGACAGAACTCTAGCACTCTCCCGCCCCGGCCCTGCTCCCACAGTGGAGTCTACCTCCTTCTGAATCTGAGCGACTTTATCTGCAAAAAACTTTGCAAAAGCATTGCAGGAGATCTTGGGGTCTCTACCAGGCCCCGGTGGTGCAGGTGGTTCTGATAGATTGCGAACCACCTGAAAAAGTCTCCTGCTGCTGTTTTCTGCATGTGCAATGGAGGCAGCAAAGAAGGCCCTCTTTGCCATCGCCATTGCCACTTGGTAGGCTCAACGTTGAGCTCTAGCCCATGTCCGGTCCCCCACACCCCAATCCTGTTTGGTGATATTGTCTCCCCTGATGGCCATTTCCATCCCCTCCAACCACTGCTTCCTTATCCTTCTTGGATTAACCATAGGGATGATCCCAGATAACCAGAGATAACATTGTGCATATCTCTATGCTCTGTGATCAGTTTGGCTACAGTATGAGATCACCAATATGGTCTGATGCTCCTGGCTAAGTGTCACAGATAAGTAGGAAAAGCAAGCCTTTCCCACGCAAAGAAAGTTGTGAAGGTCCTCAGGGAATTGCAGCAACCAGACTGGCTTCAGCCATGGCTGCCCTTTTCAGAAGACCCTGATCCCAGAGACTGGTGGGACAAGGAACAGTTGCTATAAACCTAGGAGGAATGAGGGCAAATAGTCCAGTGTCAGGGACTGGCTGGATACTGATGAATGGGCATCGGGAGAAAAGGGGTTGGAGACTGACTTGGAAGAAGGGATCAGTGAACTGGAGGAACCTGTAGCAGCCAGGAGACGAGAGTGAGAGGCAGGAGAAGCTGCAGGATTGGAGAGTGAAGAGCAGGGGCAGGAGCGTGTAGAGAGAGGTCAGGGCTTCCCCATGTCCTCCTCCTGCCCCCACTTTCCTGCCCCCACTGTCTCCCAGGACCAGGTGAGGACAGAAGAAGGTCACATGCAGGCAAAGTCTTCACCTGCTTGCGTGAAGCGTCTAGGTTGGGGATGGGGCCCCTTTGCTATAGCAGCTGTTTCATCAGGTGCACACCTGCGAGCAGCTGAGAGATGTACTTTTGACAAGGGAACTTTTTCCTCCCTCTGGGCATCCCATGCCTGACTGTGCCATGAAAACCAGAGGCAGCAGTTCATGGGGGGGGGGGAGAGGCTGGTGTGCTGGAGAAGGAAAGAGAGGAGCAGATATGTGTCACCTCTCCCCCCCCCCATCAACATGTCACCTCTTGGCTCCATTCATGCTTCTTCCCCAGCCTTCAGGGAGGTTCTGGGGGTTCTGATAAGAAGGTGGAGCTGCTGCTTGTGGTTCCACCAGCCTGGCGGTGGAACACCTCCTTAAAGCCTGGACACACATGTAGAATGGCCATTGCCCCTGGGCATCATGGGAATTATGTAGTTTCCAGTGCTTTCCAACTTACTCACCAGAAGTGGGAGGCAACGGACAGTAATTTTTTGGGCTTCCTGGAATTAATTGATACTCCCTGAGCACATCTACCACGGCCAGCAGCACTCAAGCTGCCCATGTCCCCTCCTTTTGCAAGCAAGGCGAATCTGCCAATGTTGATCTCTCTCTGTTTCTCATATTTCTAATCTTTAGTTATCCACATTTCCACATCAGTTTACATTTTTTTTAAAAAGTCATCATGAAAATTCTTTAGCATTTAAACTAATATACACATTTTTGTATGCAATTTTGCCTGATGTACACATTTGGCAAAGTAATTTCCCCGAATATACTGTTCTTTTCACCAATAGAGATTTTAATGCGTGTTTTCCCTAGTATATGCATTTTTGTACACAATATTTGATTGGAGAACTCAGTTGAAAAACTATGGACTTAAGATTGATGTTTTGGTTTGCACATTGTTTTGGGACTTGAAAATAGATAAGTTGACCTTTAAGCGCAAATTTAATTGAATTTACCCCCCCCCCCTTTTTTTTTGCAAAGAAAACTTTGGGAACCAGCAAAGAGGTGGTGGTGCAGGCCTTCAACACTGTAAATCGTAATGCCCTGTGGACTGTCCTTCTGAAAATTGGCTGCCCAGATAAATCTGTGAACATCCTTCGGCTCCTCCATGATAATATGACAGCAACAATCACAGATAACAATGGCTCTCAAAGTGAACCATTCACAGTGGGATCAGGTGTTAAACAGGGTTGTGTTACCACTCCAACTCTATTTATTATTTTTATTGCCATGATTCTACAATTTGTTGAATGGAAACTCCCCACTGGAGTAGAAATCATATATCGAACAGATGGAAAGCTCTTTAATCTGAGTAGGCTGAAAGCAAAGAGTAAGGTTACCATAACTTCCATCATGGAGCTTCAGTATGCTGATGACAACATAGTGTGTGCGCACTAAGAGGATGACCTCCAAACTATCCTAAATATATTTGCTGAAGCTTATGAAAAGTTTGGCGTATCGCTCAACATCCAAAAAACCAAAGTGCTGCATCAATAAGCACAAAACAACCCCTCTGCAACACCACAAATCCAACTCAATGGTGTAATGTTGGAAAATGTTGATCACTTCTCCTACCTGGGCAGTTATCTTTCCACAAGGGTCAACACTGATGCCGAAATCCAGCATTGCCTGAGTTGTGTGAGTACAGCTTTCTCCTGATTGAAGTGCAGAGTGTTTGAGGACCGGGACATTCACAGGGAAACCAAAATGCTTGTTTACAAAGCTATTGTACTACCAACCTTACTGGACCAACATGGACCACTTATAAACGCCATCTCCAACTCCTCGAAAGATTCCCTCAATGGTGTCCCCAAAATTTTTACACATCACTTAGGGAGACAGACAAACTAATGCCAGTGTACTGGAAGAAGCAAAGATCACCAGTTTTGAAGCAATGATTCTTCAACATCAACTCCGTTGGACTGGTCATGTGGTTTGGATGCCTGATTATCTTCTTCCAAAACAACTACTCTAGTCTGAACTTAAAAATGGAAAGTGTAATGCTGGCGTAAAAGAGGTTTAAAGACTCTCTCAAGGCAAATCTTTAAAAATGTAGTATAAACACCAACAATTGGGAGATACTGGCCTGCAAGCACTCCAGTTGGAGAACAGCCTTTACCAAAGGTGCCATGTGCTTTGAAGACACTCGAACTCAGGACGCAAGGGAGAAACATGCTAAGAGGAAGGCACACTTGGCAAACCCTCACTGTGATTAACTCCCACCCAGAAACCTATGTCCCCACTGTGGAAAGACATGTGGATCCAAAACTGGCCTCCACAGTCACCCACAGACACAATGTTAAAACCGTGTTCATGGAAAACAATCTTACTCAGCTATGAGCGATTGCTGAAGAAGAAGAAGAAGAAGAAGAAGAAGAAGAAGAAGAAGGTGGTGGTGCAGGAGCCAAGCAAGTCTGCTATGATCCAGGCTGCCTTTCAGAGTGTTTGGACTCAGCCTATAAGTAGCTTGATGTTTTCCAAATTGGGGAAGTTCATTTCTGAAAATTCCTCTCCTTGAATCCTGAGCTTCCTTGACATAACCCCAAACACATGTGTTGTGTCAGCTTGACACTTTTTGTGGTAGAGTGACAGATGTTATCAATATACTTTACTAACTGCCAGATAAATATTAGCATTCATTTTCAGCTCAGTGGTAAAGGTTAGCTCACAAATGATTTTGAATTGGGTCATTTATAACCAGAAGTGTACAGTAGGAACACTAAATGTGCTTAATTGTAATAGGGTTGCTGCACATATTCATTACTTTCCTACTCAGATATGAATATGGCATATTGACAGCTGTTGGAACATGTCCCAAAATTAAGAGCTGCTCTCAAATCATTAACCTGAAAAGAAAAGAAAAGAAAGAAAGAAAAGAAAAGAAAAGAAAAGAAAAGAAGGGCAAGGAAGGGAAGGGAAGAAGGGCAGCAACACAAAGTCCAAACAATTCATAGACTGGGGGCCCCATCACCAACCCCTTCATTAATTTTTTTCAGGATATATTTGTGCCTCCTGGGTTTTTCTCCCCACAAAGCTAGGATTTTCAGACTCAGATTATGAACAGCTGCTAGCAGCAGGGTGGCAATGGTAATTCAGATCTCCAGAGCTGGGGAGAGAGAAGTGTCCAATTCATAGCTGAGCTGACAATATATGCTCCTACACTTTCATGTGTTGCTTAGTGCTTCAAAGGTATTGCCATTGTTAAGGGCCCCATGAGCACACGAGGAACATTGTCTACAAGAACACGAACAGGCTTAGTTCTTCATAGAACAGGTTGAATCCTACCCAGACCTCCCAGAATGCCCACACTTCCTGCATAGTGCATTCTGGGCCCCAAAGGATGATGGCGACCGTGACCACATCTTGGACCAGATCCATTTTAAGAGGTGTTTTGTAGTCCTGTTGGGTAACTGCTAACAGATATAGCAACAAAACTCACATTTTCTGACCGCAGCTTCTTCGCAGGACAGCCTCCATCTAGTGGGTGGAGCATATAGTAGAGACGAACTTTGCTGGCATGTTTCCGGCTCTGGGGAAGAAAACCCAAACATGTTGTTTGATATGGCATACTTGAAGGATGCCCCATTTTAAAAACAAAACAATACACCTCCTCACATGTGGAAAAGCAGCATGTCAAGGAGGAGGCTTCTGCAGTTCTGCCCTATTGAGGCACAGGAACATAGCACAACTCTGCTACAGGCTGGCCTGAGGCTACATATGGACCTGTGGCCTGTGGCTCACCAGCCCTGCTATTAGGCCCAGGAAGTCCTCTTCAGAAAAGGAAGGGAAACTCTAAGCCCAACCCAATGCTGTATGCATAGGCGCCGACTCCATGGGGTTTGAGGGGGCCCGAGCCCCCTCAAAAATTCGTTTGCGGGGGCTCCGCCCCCCCAATAATCTCCGGCGCCCCTCCAGCAGAGTGCCATCGCCGCCCCTCCCCCAGCCCAAAATGCACAGGGAGGGGCGGGCTGCATGCCTCCTGCCCTCCCTCCCGAGCAAAAGCTCCACCCAATTTCCTTTGGAGCTGATTAATAGGCGCAGCACGCTCTCCCCTATTCGCTCACGAGGAGGCGGCGCCACTTTATTTGCATATTCATGAGCTTATTTATTATTCATGAGCTTTCCCGGGCCCCTCCAATATTTTTTATAAGTCCGCGTCCCTGGCTGTATGCATTCCCAGCTCACTTGCACAGTCACCCCCCCCTTTTTTTTGCTATTGGAGATAGATGCAAGATGGCATGCTCTGACCTAATCTCTCCAAATGACATTAATTAGGCTAAACAAAAGAGCCAATGTGGCTGGTGCCCCAGAGGAGCAGCAAAAACAAGAGACTCTGGAAATTGTTTTATTGGGTCATCTGATCTCAGTGGATGTGGAGGCCACTTTAAAGGGGGGGGCAAAATCTGAAATGCTGTGCCAGCTACATGCAGCATGAGCTGCGCACTGCAGCAGCCTTGGAAAGAAGATGATGGATAGAAATGTAATAACTGAAAACCCAGTGGGAGTATTGAAGGGTGAAAGGGCTACAAACACCTGAGTTCCATCAAATCCCCTGCCTGCCATCTGGGAATGAAAAATAAGAGCATTATGGCACAGAGCTCCAGTGGCATGAGGAATATCATGGGGAAAACAAAGCAGGGTAGACCTTGGAAAGCCAAAACTTGTGTTTTCGATCCTTAGTTAGTGGATCATAGAATCATAGAGTTGGAAGAGACCACAAGGGCCATCGAGTCCAACCCCCTGCCAAGCAGGAAACACCATCAGAGCACTCCTGACATATGGTTGTCAAGCCTCTGCTTAAAGACCTCCAAAGAAGGAGACTCCACCACACTCCTTGGCAGCAAATTCCACTGTCGAACAGCTCTTACTGTCAGGAAGTTCTTCCTAATGTTTAGGTGGAATCTTCTTTCTTGTAGTTTGGATCCATTGCTCCGTGTCCGCTTCTCTGGAGCAGCAGAAAACAACCTTTCTCCCTCCTCTATATGACATCCTTTTATATATTTGAACATGGCTATCATATCACCCCTTAACCTCCTCTTCTCCAGGCTAAACATGCCCAGCTCCCTTAGCCGTTCCTCATAAGGCATCGTTTCCAGGCCTTTGACCATTTTGGTTGCCCTCCTCTGGACACGTTCCAGTTTGTCAGTGTCCTTCTTGAACACAGTACTCCAGGTGAGGTCTGACCAGAGCAGAATACAGTGGCACTATTACTTCCCTTGATCTAGATGCTATACTCCTATTGATGCAGCCCAGAATTGCATTGGCTTTTTTAGCTGCCGCGTCACACTGTTGGCTCATGTCAAGTTTGTGGTCAACCAAGACTCCTAGATCCTTTTCACATGTTCTGCTCTCAAGCCAGGTGTCCCCCATCTTGTATTTGTGCCTCTCATTTTTTTTGCCCAAGTGCAATACTTTACATTTCTCCCTGTTAAAGTTCATCTTGTTTGTTTTGGCCCAGTTCTCTAATCTGTCAAGGTCGTTTTGAAGTGTGATCCTGTCCTCTGGGGTGTTAGCCACCCCCACCCCCCAGTTTGGTGTCATCTGCAAATTTGATCAGGATGCCCTTGAGTCCATCATCCAAGCCATTGATAAAGATGTTGAATTAGACCGGGCCCTGTGGCACCCCACTAGTCACTCTTCTCCAGGATGAAGAGGAACCATTGATGAGCACCCTTTGGGTTCGGTCAGTCAGCCAGTTACAAATCCACTGAGTAGTAGCATAGTCAAGACCGCAATTTACCAGCTTCTTTACAAGAATATCATGGGGCACCTTGTCGAATGCCTTGCTGAAATCAAGGTAGGCTATATCCACTGCGTTCCCTTCATCTACCAGGCTTGTAATTCTGTCAAAAAACGAGTTCAGGTTAGTCTGACATGACTTATTTTTCAGAAATCCATGCTGACTATTGGTGATCACAGCATTCCTTTCTAGGTGCTCACAGACTGTTTGCTTAATGATCTGCTCCAGAATCTTCCCTGGTATTGATGTCAGACTGACTGGGCGATAATCATTTGGGTCCTCTCTTTTCCCCTTTTTGAAAATAGGGGCAACATTTGCCCTCCTCCAGTCTGCCGGGACTTCGCCTGTTCTCCAGGAATTCTCAAAGATGACTGCCAGTGGTTCTGAGATCACATCTGCCAGTTCTTTTAATACTCTTGGATGCAGTTCATCTGGCCCTGGAGACTTGAATACATCTAAACTAGCCAAGTATTCTTGTACTACCTCCTTAGTTATTCTGGGCTGTGTTTCCTCTGCTGAATCATTTGCTCCAAATTCTTCAGGTCGGGCGTTGTTTTCTTTATCGGAGAAGACTGAGGCAAAGAAGGCATTGAGGAGTTCAGCCCTTTCTGTGTCCCCTGTTTGCATTTCACCATCTTCTCCTCTGAGTGACCCCACTGTTTCTTTGTTCTTCCTTTTGCTACGGACATACCCATAAAAGCCTTTTTTGTTGCTTTTAACCTCTCTAGCAAGCCTGAGTTCATTCTGTGCTTTAGCTTTTCTGACTTTGTGTCTACATGTGCTGGCTATTTGTTTGAATTCCGCTTTGGTGGTTTCCCCCCTTTTCCATTTTTTGTACACATCCTTTTTTAATCTTAACCCAGTTAAAAGTTCTTTAGATAGCCACCCTGGCTTCTTTAGGCACCTTCCATGTTTCCGTCTCATTGGTATTGCCTGAAGTTGTGCTTTTACTATCTCCCTCTTAACAAACTCCCAGCCATCATGAACTCCCTTTCCTTTTAGTATTACTGTCCATGGGATCTCACCCAGCACTTCCCTAAGTTTTATGAAGTCGGCTTTCTTAAAGTCAAGAAATTGAGTCCTAGTATGCTTGGCTGCTCCTTTCCGCTGTATAGTAAACTTCAGAAGAGCATGATCACTCGCGCCTAATGATCCTTCCACTTCTACCCCACTAACCAGGTCATCAACATTGGTTAGGACCAGATCTAAAATGGCTGTTCCTCTTGTTGCTTCTCCCACTTTCTGGACAATGAAGTTGTCTGCAAGGCCAGTGAGGAATCTGTTTGACCTTATGCTCTTGGCTGAGTTTGATATCCAACAAATATCCGGGTAATTGAAGTCCCCCATTACTACTATCTCCCTTCCTTTTGCATGCTTGGCCATCTGTTCCAGGAAGGCATCATCTATGTCCTCCGTTTGGCTTGGGGATCTATAGTAAACTCCCACAATGAGGTCTCTGTTATTCTTCTCTCCCTTAATTTTGACCCAAATGCTCTCACTTTGGCTTTGAGGTTCTAAATCCTGGATCTCTTCACAGGTATACACATCCCTGACATATAACGCCACTCCTCCTCCTTTCTTGTCTGGTCTGTTTCTCTGAAATAGATTGTATCCCTCCATTATTACATTCCAATTGTGGGACTTATCCCACCAGGTTTCAGTGATGCCTATTATGTCATATTTAGTTTGCTGTACCAAGAGCTCAAGCTCATCTTGTTTATTTCCCATGCTTTGCGCATTAGTGTACAGACATTGAAGTCCATTAATCATTCCCCCGTGTCTCTTATTTAAGGATTTTTTCCTCCCACCACTAGGTCTGCGTGCTATTTGCTCCATTTGGTCTATGACATTTGGATGATCATCTTCATCAATTGATAGACTCCTACCTTCAGGAGCACTGTCTGATTACCCTCATCAGAATCGTTACAAAATATAGGCCTGGCCCAGCTGTGCTTCATTATTTTCTACTGATCTCAATGAGACTTCCACATGGGTTTCACTTACTCCCAAAGAAATCAATTGGACATAGAAGTATGAGTAGGGGAATAAGTTCAGTTTAGTTCACATTTAAAGGCAAACTTACTTAATTCACACTACCTGGCTCAATATGTGACCCAAAACACAGCATTCTTTCAAAACCTTCACTTCTCTGAATTTTGCGGTGCAGTTTTCCACTCAAGTAATGTGTGCAAACATTAATTTTTTAAGGTAAAGTGTACATAAAGTGCTGCATATATATATTAGGGAAAGCAGCTTGCAAAAATGTGTATATTAGGTAAAAATGCATTTAAAATGTGCTTATTTTGAGAAATTCACACCAAAATGTTGATGAATTTTCGTGAGAACCTAAAAATAAATTCCATAAACTGATGTGGAAAAAGAGAGATTGAAATAGAAAGATTTGCCCATCTCTACTTAAAAGTGCTTAGCTTTGCCTGGAATGTGCACTGTGTATTAGGAGAGTGAGCGGGGGGGGGGGAGGTGTTTAATATGTACCCTCCAACAATTTCACAAATGAAACTAAAAGCATTCTTGCCTAGTAAGAAAAGTCCCTAACTTGTACCCAGCCAGGATCACTGGCAGACCACCTACCCACTATTAAGTATTACAGACAACTCTCCTTTCCCTGCTGGGTGTCCTGACTGAGCCTGTCCTGCCAACGCAGTGCATCATATTTGGTCCTCTAATATACCAACAATTCAAAAAGAGCAAACAGGTGAAATGACAAACTGACTACATGGTTCCTCAGCATTTATAGACTCAACAGGTTAGAGGGAGTCCCAAGAGTC